TAGTGAAAGAAGAAAGGAATTTAAACTGTCTTGAAAATGCACAGGTATTTGCCTGCTGATAAAACGAAGGAATGGAGGCAATTTAAATTCTCTGTTTAGTCCAGGAAGTTATAAATAATTCTAGGTGAAGGGCTACTAGGAGTATCAGATTAGTACAGGCTAAGATGTGGTGAGGCTGAAAAGGTAGAAGTGGGTAGACCAGATAAGACAGGTTTTGTAGCCCCAGCTAAGGACTTTGACTTTATCCAATAGGCAAGTGGGGTTCATGGAATTACTGAAAGATTTCAGGATTGGTTTAGAGATTTAGTAATACTGTCTTGGATGGTGGGGGTAGTAGGAAACTGAGGGTAGTGGTTAGAAGAACAAAGGATTATAAGATTTAAAGGCTTGCTGGAGGCAGTGGGAATTGGTTTGGAAAGGACACTCCTATACCACTGGCTGAGTACCAAGCCTATATGGGCCAGAAGCTTTCCAGGGGCTGCACACTTAAGCTGGCAGGCCACATTTAGCCAGGATATGTTGTTAAACCCATACAATTTACAAAAAAAATTTTTTGGACTAGTTGCAAAAACGGAAAAATTTGGAGATTTTATTAAAAAAAAAAAAGGAAAGAAAAGGGTTTTCTAGCTTTTTTTGAAAAATCAAAATACTATTTGGGAACATTGGGTCCATAGTCCCTCAAGGAAACAATCAGCAGAGCTCACTTCACTTTTTAAATATACATATAGAAAAGTGCACAAATGAGGGTGCAGACTGATGCATATTCAAAAGGGAACATACTTGACTAACCAGCACCTATATCAACGAGCAAAATACTACCAGTATCTCCAGAGTTATGCTTATTTAATCCTACTAACAACCTTATGAGTTAGACGATATTATTATCCCTGTTCGACAGATGAGGAAACTGCAGTTTAGAGAGAGATCTCAAAGCTAAATATTGTTGAAACCAGCATTTGCATCTGGATCTGTTGTTTAAGTCCAAAGCCCATACTTTCGAGAAGAAACAGGTTTGGAGAGTTAAACCGTGAGCTCAGCTTTGACAGATGCTGAGCGGATGTTTCCTTCCACGGAAACTTACTTCCGGTGTCAGAGCCACAGTGACCACAGGTAACCCTCAGACTGCTTGCTTTTGCGGCTTCATAGCGCAGTCTCCCAGGGAGCCGCCCGCAGCATGCTGCGCGGTCTCCTCGCACACGATGGCGCTGTCGCAGCTATAGGCGGAGGAGAGTCTCTCTCGGTTGTCGCAATATTCTTGAGGCCGTAATAGCGCGAGACCGAAGCTCACGCTAACGGCGGCCCCGCCCCGTACACCTAAGTTCTCGCGCGAGTTGCACTTCCGTCTTTTTGGCTGTTTGAGCAGCAGGATGGCAGTCGGCAAGAACAAGCGCCTTACAAAAGGTGGCAAAAAAGGAGCCAAGAAAAAAGTGTAAGTGGTAACTGCTGTGAACCTTGCTTCTTGGCGTTCTGCTGGAATCGGCGGGTGGGTTCTAGGTTGCGGCGTGGCTGGATGGCGCGGATGCCAGGCGGATTGCGCGGGCTGTGTTCGGTTTGTGCACTCCTGGCTGGCCGGTCCAGTTGCTGCGTGGAGGCGGGACGGGTGCCTTACCCCGGTCTCTTGGGCCTTGCACGCGACCCTTTTGAGCCTGATTGTCGCCACCATTCGAGCCCGGTGTGTTCCTTATCGTGGGCTCTTTGGCCACGTAAATCCCGCAGATATTTACTGTCGCTCCAGTAGTTGGAGTTTAGGAAGGCACTGTCTATTCTTTTCCATCTGTGACCCCATGCCCACCTCGGTTTGGGATCTGTGGAATCTGGAGCCTTTTAGTAGTAGGCTCCTGTGAGCCCCTGAAGGGTCACGTAAAGTTCACGAGACTTGCATGTTACTTGGAGGCAATGCCTGTGTAGTGGAAAAATCGATGGGGTGAGGAAGGTGCGTGTTTGTGGCATATCAGAGTATGTGGTCTGCCCAGTGAGGGAAGTAGTTTATTGCAGCATCTAAATGCCATTTAGCCCTTTAAAATACTGAGGGGAAATATTAAGGGAAGTATCAGAGTGACAGAAGTAAAACGAAATTCTCAATAAGAATCACGTGATCTCTAGTAAAACGTAAGCATTTTTTTAAAATCCAGGGTTGATCCATTTTCTAAGAAAGATTGGTATGATGTGAAGGCACCAGCTATGTTCAATATAAGAAATATTGGGAAAACACTAGTCACAAGGACTCAAGGAACAAGTGAGTATCTTACCATTGGTTTGTATTTTTCTTAAATTGGGACGTGGATATTGTAGCATGCTTTTTGGTTTGTTGGTCCTGTAGTGGGAGACTGTAGTGAAATGTCAGCTCTTGACTGCAGCTTTAGCCCCTGTGGTGCTTGTTTAGGAGCCCTGGTGGTGCAGTGGTTTTTTTAAGAACTCGAATGCTAACCACAAGGATGGCAGTTTGAATCCACTAGCCGCTCCTTGGAAAGCCTATGGGGCAGTTCTACTCTGTCCTACGGGGTCGCTATGAGTTGGAATTGACTTGATGGCAATGGGTTTGGTTTTTCTGGTTATGGGTGCTTGTTTTTGGTATACCACTTGCAGAAGTAAGGTGGTGCTTTTAGATTTATTAAGAAAATGTGCATAGATTTGAGCTTCTAATGAGCATTGTCAATAAATCATTGCTGTCTATATGGATTTGGTAACAATATTTAAGGCCTTAAATAATTTTTCAATAATTTTTATGCATGAAAATTATTTTTGTAGGCTTGATTTCTTCATGGTTCTTAATGTTAATAAGACAATTGGTTCTTGTTTTGTAGAAATTGCATCTGATGGCCTCAAGGGTCGTGTTTTTGAAGTGAGCCTTGCCGATCTGCAGAACGATGAAGTTGCATTTAGAAAATTCAAGCTAATTACTGAGGATGTTCAGGGCAAAAACTGCCTGACCAACTTCCATGGCATGGATCTTACCCGTGACAAAATGTGCTCCATGGTCAAAAAATGGCAGGTGAGTTCATATCCATAGAGTGTATGGTGCTATGAAGTGTATGGTCAGTGGTGTCATGGTGTAATCATAGGAAGGCACACATCATGAAATTGAGGTTTAGGTTTCACTTTAAATCTTTGGGTGTTTCATGTTATTGTTGAGTGCTAACTCTAGGCTTGGCACTGCTGAGCTTGAGCAACAGCAATGGGCCTTTTATCTGTTTAAATTGTGTCCAACATTTAATACTGGGCTGTTATTAAAATGGGAGCTCGACAGCAACAGGTTTGTTGTTGTTTTTTTTTTAATCATTAAAATGAGTTTTTTTGATGCATGAATTAGTGACTGATTGAGGACTATCTAGCGTTTTGTGTGTCTTCAGGACACCTTTGGACGTCAAATTCTAGTGAATTTTATTGGGATAGTCTTTTGATTATCTCTGGCAATATTGACAACCTGATGTTAGGTTGAAATCTTGACTCCATTTCCCAGTTGCGTTCTCTTTGGCGAAGCCTTGGTTTCCTCATTTGGAAAAATGGAGATAAAAGTACCATCTGATGGAGTTGTAAGGATGCTTAGGACACTGCCTGATACATAGAAAACACTTGATAAACATTAGCATTATGATGGGAATGATTATGTGGGTTTAGACGTGTACTGGTCTGGCTAACCATCCGGTTTTGTGATACTTTTTATATGGGAATGAATGATGACAAAATGTTTCGGTCCCAGATGATACATACTGATTAGACCGTTACATTTATTTCTGACATTTCCCTAAGGTTTTTTGTTTCATTTCTGGAACTGTTTTAAGGTCCCTTTGCTGTAATGTTGGTTTTTTTGTTTGTTTGTTTTTTTGTTTTTTAAACAACTAAGGTATAAGATTTACAAAATAGAAGGCAATTTAGTTTTTGTTGTTACCTAAGATAGTTTTTGGTTTGTAAATTTAAACGATAATATGGCTACTAATTATGGATTTAAAAAATTATATTTTAGCTGTGAAATTGAATGTTTAATCCTTAGCGTGGCTTTATGTTGGTGAAACATAGAGGACTTTTTTTTAAAAATGTGTACTCAGTGTTATTACAGCAATACTTTACCTCTTCAGAATGCATTTTTCAAAAAGATGGACTACGTACAATGTAGATGTCCAAATAGAGTCCTACAGATCCTCTTGGAATCTATTTTTCTCTTATCTTGCCAAGTTGTAGTACAGTTACTTTGGGGGAGAGAGGTGGTGTTAAAGCCTTGTGTGGTGGGGGGTGCAGTTGAGATACAGTGATAGTGAGGATAGAGAAGTTCTTGGGGGGGGGAGACAGTTGAGAGGACTTGGTGTTTATTTAATTGGACATGAGGGATAATGAGAATTGGGGATAGTTCTTGGTAAATTCTTAAAAGAGTGTTAATTCTGTAAACTAGATACTTAAATATTGTGATATTTTATGTAATGCATACTTGACATGCCAGCTTTACTGTATTAGATCTTGAGGGATAAAAATTGGGGAGAGTATTAAAGTCTGTGATATTTAACGTTTTCCCTAGACCATGATTGAAGCTCATGTTGATGTCAAGACTACCGATGGTTATTTGCTTCGTCTCTTCTGTGTTGGTTTTACTAAAAAACGCAACAATCAGATTCGGAAGACGTCTTATGCTCAGCACCAACAGGTCCGCCAAATCCGGAAGAAAATGATGGAAATCATGACCCGAGAGGTGCAGACAAATGACTTGAAAGAAGTGGTCAATAAATTGTAAGTGTGTCATTTGTTTTTTTTTTTTCCTTCAAACAACACAACCCTGACTTTCATCCCAAAGTGGAGTCAGACAGATGTTTCCATTCTGTCTGTGACTCCTCCTTGGTATATCTCTTTCAGTGAGAGAGTTTTAAGTGCTCGTCAGTAATTGTGGTATGGTTTCGTTTCTCTTTCTTTGATGAAGCTGTCTCATGGCAGTGAGACTTAAAGGGAGAAGTGGGTTTGTCTTGATTAGAAAATACGCCAAATAAACAAAAATGCTCTATATAATGTATGGGAATAAGTGATGAAAAAAACGTTTTGGTTCCAACTAATGTCTTGTGATAACTTAAATTTTTCTGATGTTCCCATGCAGTATATAGTTGGCTAAGAGGGTGTAATGGAAAAGACGTTAGGTGTGGACTCAGAAGGCTTCAATGCTATTTTACCACTAACTAGCAATGTAATTCAGATCATTTCACCTTTGCTTGTAAAGGGGCAATAATAGACTATCTTAAATGAGGACTTACGTGGACTAAATTAGGTGGGTGTTACATGTTTACATGTGTAGGCTTATTCTAAGGCTTCTTTCTTTTCAGAGCACCAGGACTTTTTTTTTTTTTTTTTTTAACTAATCTATCTTTTTTGGTGGTTTGCAGGATTCCAGACAGCATTGGAAAAGACATAGAAAAGGCTTGCCAATCTATTTATCCTCTCCATGATGTGTTTGTTAGAAAAGTAAAAATGCTGAAGAAGCCCAAGTTTGAATGTAAGTGAAATTCACAGGATTCCTGAAAAAAAAAAAAAAAAAATTGGGGGAGAAGTTTTTTTTTTTTTTTTTTTTCCTGTCATGCCTACATAGTGTTGAAGACCATTGTTTCAAAATATGATGTGCTATAACTAACAAAATGTTTTCCTTCCTTTTAGTGGGAAAACTCATGGAGCTTCATGGTGAAGGTAGTAGTTCTGGAAAAGCTACTGGAGATGAGACAGGTGCTAAAGTTGAACGAGCTGATGGCTATGAGCCACCTGTTCAAGAATCTGTTTAAAATTCAGATTTTTAATGATGACAAATAAAACATCTTATTTGTGATGCTGTGCTTCTGAACATTCTTTTAAAAAAACAGTTTGGTGAATCAAATGTTCTGACACTTCTTCAGTGAGACTTTCCTGACCTGATCAGGAAGGATTTCACCCATTGCCCTTAGGTAAGTAGTTGAGAAACCAAAACCAACGAAACCCACTGCCATCAAGTCAATTCTGACTCATAGTGACCCTATAGGACAGAATATAACTGCCCCATAGGGTTTCCAAGGCTGTAAATCTTTATAGAAGTAGACTGCCAAATCTTTTGTGGGGCAGCTAGTGGGTTCGAACCACTGACCTTTTGGTTAGCAGTACCACCAAGAAAGAAGAGCCGGGAGCAGAGTACATCCTTTGGACTTGGAATCCCTGTGCTGAGAACTTTGTAGGCCCAGGGGAGAATTGATGCCAAGACGCATGGAGATCTCCAAGGGATGCTAGGCCCACAGATGTTGAAAGGAGACAAGGACCAGAATCAACGGAGAAAAAGCCCTCCACTAGAGCTGGCACTCTTAATTTGGATTTCTAGCCACCTAAACTGTGAGAATAAATTTCTGTTAAAGCCATCCACTTAAATGGTATTTCTCTTAGCACAGCACTAGATTAGATAACTAAGATGGTGGTGCCATAGTGGTTTAAGTGCCTGGCTGCTAACCAGAAGGTTAGTGGTTTAAACCCACCAGCTGCTCTGTGGGAGAAAGATGTGGCAGTGTGCTTTAATAAAAATTCACAGCCTTGGGTGATAGGGAACCGAAGGTTGAGTAAGGATATTGTTGATGTGTTGTGAGATTGTTAACCATTGTCATAGGGCAACATTTGTAGTAACTGTTAAATGAGAAACTATTTTGTTCCGTAAGCCTTCATCTTAAGTGAGAATAACAGCACAATTGGAAGAGCGTAGTCAATGTCACTGAACTGCATGTAGAAATTTTTGAAACGGTGTATCTTTGGCTATGTGTATTTTCACCATAAAAAAAAAAAGATTGAGAAGTTAGAGGGTTAATATGTTGTGGGGTCGTTAACCAATGTCATAAAACAACACGTGCACTACTGTTTCATGAGAAACTTTGTTCTGTAAACCTTCACCTGAAGTACAATAAAATCGAAAAAAAATTCACAGCCTTGGAAATCCTGGAGCAGTTCTACTCTGTCCTGTAGGGTCGTTACGAGTCAGAATTGACTTGACTGCAAGGGGTTTATATATAGTAAAATGAGGTGATGAAAACCATCTGCTTGGCTGCCAACCAGGTGAGCCCAGCCAGAGGCACCTCTGAAAAAAAGGCTCGATCTACTTTGAAGAATTAGCCATTGAAAATTTTCAGGAACACAGTTCTGTTACGACACGTGGGGTTGCCATGAGTTTGGAATCAACTATAAGGCAGCTGATTTCTTTATAGTAAAGTGAACTGATAATTCTATTTACATATAAATCAAATATCCTACTGTACACCTACACTATGAAGCGAAATTTGGCTAGGGAAACGATGGTTACTGGTGCCAGTATTTCCTCTGTCCACTCATCCATTTGGTTTTTGTATCCTTTCTCCTCCAACGTCAACTTGCCCATTCTAGCTCAGTTTAAAGTAGATGAGAAAAAAAAAAAATCACAAATTCCAACCCTTAATGCCTTGTCATCTATGTGTGTGTATTTATCCTGCTTTCCCTATTGTCGCTGGATGAATTGTGATATGACAAACTTTTCTACTTGAGCATTAGGTCCTGTCCTTGCCTAATCAAGCTCATGATTCAAGTGCATCAGATTTTCTTAAGTGAGTCTTCTATCATACAAATTGAAATCCTGTGCTCACACCCTTCCAGATACAACCCTGTTCATCCTCGTTAGAGCAAAGCTCGAAAGAGTTAACCGATGTATATGAATCCAAATTTTTCCTTTTCTTGATGCACTGTGATTAGACTTTACTCAGTTTCAAGCTAGTGGCTGCTGTCAAGATTATGAGTGACTTTGTTCCTAAATCCAATGGTCTATTTGCAGCCTTCATTTTACTTAAGTCGCTGGCCACCATCCTTTGCTAGTTCTTCCTTATCGCAGACCTTTGTCAGTGTTGGAGGGTCCTAGAGCTCGGTCCTTGGTAGTTATCTTTATCCTTAGATACCGTTAGTCAGTTTCGTGGTTTGTGTTCCTAACCTGTACCTGCTGAACTCAGGTTTGTCTATCCAGCTGCCTGCTGGACATCTCTGCTTAGATGTCAGATAGGCATTTCAAACAACACCTATCTTTAACAAATACCACAAGTGTGTAGTTTTAACAAATTTACTTTCTCAGTTTAGGAGACGAGAATTCCGAATTCAGGCCGCTGACTCTAGGGGAAGGCTTTCTCTGTCAACTCTGGGGCAAGATCTTGGTCTCTTCAGCTTCTGTTCGTAGGCTCTTTGGTGCTATTCATGTGACATGGCATCTACCCCTATCTCTGCTTCCTCAGTCTGCGCCTTTAAGTCTCAAAAGAGATTGACTCAAGACACACACTACTATCTCATTAACGTAACCCGTTCCCAAATGGAATTATAACCACAGGTATAGAGGTTAGGATTTACAACACATTTTTGAGAAAGAAGATTCAATCCTTAACATCTAAAATGATATTCTTGATCTCAACAATTTATCCCCCTTTCCAGTTGCTGGGAGCCCTGGTGGCACGGTGGTTAAGAGCTTGGCTGCTAATCAAAATGTCAGCAGTTTGAATCCACCAGCTGCTCTCTGGAAACCCTATAGGGCAGTTCTACTCTGTCCTATAGGGTCTCTACAAGTCGGAATTGACTCGATGGCAATGGGTTTGGTTTTTGGTTTTGTTCCAGTTGCTGAGGCCAAAATTCTTTGTGGTCATACTTGACTATTCATAAAAAATATAACGAATTTAAACGTTTCTTACCACCTCTTGCTATCACTGAAGTAAGCCACTGTTACCACCTGGATATTGTTATTGCCTATCTGGTTTCCCTGCGTCCCTTCTTGTGAAAGTATTTTAAACGCTCAGTTCACCCAGAAAGTCCCATGTGATCTTGGCCCTCAGTTGTCTCCTCCTACTCTTCCCTTCCTTAATGTGCTAGGTGCATTCTTGCTTCAGGGCTTTTACACTTGATTTCCCTCTGCTTGGAAGATGCTTCCCATAGATTTTCACGGGCTTGCTCCTTCACTTCCTGGTCCTTGCTCTATGTCTCCTTAGTAGACCCTAATTATTGTTTCATCCTGTTGAAAATTGTACTGCAGCACTTCCTATTTTCCCTGCATTTCTTTATTCTGTTACTTTTCACGTGTCTGTCTCCACTAGAAGAGCTCCATGAGGACAGTGTTTTTAGAGGTGGGGGGTGGGTAGTCTGGTTCATTGGTATGTCCCCAATGTAATGTCTAGGAGTTCAATGAATATTTAAAGGAATGAATGATGCTACCTGTTAATAAATATCCTGTAGTGAAGCAAATGCCCTAATGTCTGCTACTGAAGGCTGGTTTCGTTGTAGACTTGAGTCCCACATGACGGGCTTGCTTACTCCCCAGGATATGGACCCAAGTGGAGTCTAAAGAGCACTGACGGGGTGGGGACCAGGGATTGTTATATAAATGGTGGCTTTTTTTTTAATGCTTTGAGGCTGGGCATCATTTTGTAATCCTTAATCAAGCACCAGTCTGCTACACCTCTGACTGGGTATGACATGGTATTCTTAGAAGGGCTAATTTGAAAAAGTTTCCAAAAATAATGTATTTTATTTTTTAAAAATGGTTTGGGCTGTTTGATGATGGATTTAACAAAGTTGACCTTCCCATAAGCCAACCTGAAGGTGGTTAAAGTATTCATCTATTGAAAAATACTAGAAGGGGCAATTCTAAATTTCCCATTTAAGTATCTCATATGGTTAATATATGGATATTAAGTGTTCACAAATGGCTTTTCTCTACTTGAACTACTTTACCTTAGTCTTAACAAAAACTTCAGTAACGAGGGATACATGAATCCTCAAAAACAGGTTGTTGAAGGCATTTGTGCTAGGGTATGACTGAAATAGGTAGCAAAACTAGTACTTGATTTGAAACCGGATTTTGCTTAGTGCATACAATTGAGCAACACCACTAATTATAAAAGTGAATACTAATGTGTAAAGGGGAAAAACAGCTAGCTGCTCGTGTAATCTGAATACCACTGTCCACATTGGACTTAGGGATTTGATGCTTATTCTGTTACTTACATGGTACAGAGTGAGTGTATGCACACGTGGTTAACACGCGTGAAGAACAAGAAATAAGTTAGGAAAAATATGCCAGTTTCACAGAAG